TGTGTGTGAGAACAAAGGGCATAGGAAAATTGAGTGTCGTACCATTCTAGCCTTCAAGAAAGTGCTATATAGCCAAACTTCTAATTCAAGTAATGTTAGAAAGCCTTTTTCAAACTAAGTAGGCAATCCCTACTCTGACACCTATAATCCTGGATAGAGGAACCACCTAAATTTTGGATGGAGAAATGAGGGCTCTTTAGTACCTCAAACATTTCAACCTTCTCCCCAACCATTTCATGCTTCCATACATAACATGTATCAATGATTAGTACTTAAAAGTGCATTTTTATCATGGTTTTATATCATCATTTTGCACTTGAAGTATCAATAACTCCTTAACTAAAGCATGTTTTATAATAATATATCTAATAATATAAGATACATTTAATTTGTGGTACTTATATATTTACAAAATTGCTATTATACTTTGCTATTATAACTAAAGAGTTCATGAAACCTAAAATTAATAAAAATATCATTAAATTTATTTCCTCTAAATAATAAGTTAAACTTTAGTTGTCACATTCTCATCTTCCTCTTCTATAATAGGTACAACATATATGTACATATATCTTTTCACTTATATGAAATAATTTTTTATTATTATAATGCACTACAATAATTTTTTTAATTAATAGAAATATCTTATCGATTGTTATAAATTAATCCAATCATTTTCTAATTTGCCCTATTTTGATATGAACAAGTAGTGTAGGTTAGAGGTGGTATGAACAGATCATTAAGTTTCATATAATCACCCTTCATATACTTTGAAAAATTATAAGTTTTATCACCTTAACTTTTGATGTTATGCTAGTGCCTCACCTAAAGTTATGATTGTCACCGTGAAGAAATAGTTATACCTTAGGATCCTTTAAGTAATAGCGGGTCTAAGAGCTGCCATAGTTTGCAAAGAAATCAAGCTTAACCTTAGTATTTTGCTCGAAGTTTACAACTAGAGTTTAGAATTTTCAAAATATAGCAGTAATAACTTCAAATATGGAGAAAATTTTACCAATTGAATTTACAATCATTTCACTCAACTAGCACATTCTTCTAATTGCAAAAAATAATAATATTTTTCCAAGGAGAGCAACTTCATTTTATCAATTTCCTATCCATTGACTGATATTGATTTCCAAACCAAACTCCTTGCAATGTCATATAAACAATGTGGTGGACATTACTCTTATCCTTATTTACATTGATTACTTGTCCTCATTTGCAATATAATCGTTATAAATAAGGAGAAGAGTAATGTCCTAATCTTATTGGTAGAAAAATAAAAAAGCATCATACAAATATTGTTAAAAACCTATATGCTGGATTTAAGAGTTATATTTTAGATACCATGCTCAAGGAGCTTGCTTAAAGCTATTAAAAGCTTTGTGCAAATGAAAAATATAATTTAGATATGCACGATCCTAAAACCTAGGAAGTTGAGTAAGATACCCTCTTTTAAATTACCATGTAAGAATCCATTACTCATATCAAGTTTCTTCAAAGGCCACCCTATTGAAAGAGCCATGTTCAAAATCAAATGAATTATTGCAAGTTTTACAATAGGGTTGAAAGTCTCATTATAGTCAAGGCCTGGATTTGACGTAAAACCATATGCTACAAGGTGAGCTTTATACCTTTTGATAGCTCTATTTACCTTAGTTTTGATTTTAAACACCCACTTACTATTAACTAAGTTCATAGCATTGGTTTTAGGAACTAAAATCCATGTATTATTGGCTTGGAGAGCATAACATTTAGATTGTATAGCTTGCTACAAAAAAAGATCATTGAGAGCATGCTTTTAGTTTTATAGCTCTTAAGGTTGATTGATCAAGTTTTTCTAAAACAAGTGGGAATGAGATGCCTTGTAGTTAAAAATAATTCAATTCATCAAGTACCATCCTGATTTTTTGTAATCATTAAATGAGAATGAATTGATGCAAGCATTGGGTCTTGTAGTGAAACACAAGATAAAGCTAACATAACCGAAACATGAAGGGCTAACATAACTAGTGATTATATATTTCCTGAGATAGTATTGTCAAGTGGATATTGATTAGGTATTGTATGAAGAATGTTGGATTGATTGTGAAGTTTAAAAAGTTGGTTAAAAGGATCATATTAATTTTATTACGGGGAGAAATGAAAGGTTGTCTCATATAAAAAAAAAAAAAACATGTTTGGAGATGAATATACAGCTTAGGGAATATGGAAACAATAGTAACCTATGTGTTTTGAAAAGTAGCCAAGAAACAAGCATCTATTGGATTTGAAATCAAGTTTCGAATGATCAAAATAAGTTAAATATGGATAGCATGCACAATCAAAAATTCATAAAAAAATATAACATAATGAATATTTAAACATTAGCTCATAAGAAGACTTGCCATGAAGAATAAGAATAGGTAGCCTATTGATTGAAAAACATTGTTGTGATGAAGGCTGCAGTCTAGAATTTTAATAGAATAGAAGCATGAGCCATTAAAGTGATACATGTCTCAATAATATGATGACGATGACGTTCAACTAAATCATTTTATTAAGGAGTTTGAGGACAAGATAATCGATGAAGAATACTTTTTAAAGAAAAATAGTATTTTAAACTTGTATTAACAAATTTATCTCCCTTGTCACTTTGAACAATTTTCATTTAAGTTTGAAATTGCATTTTTAGCATTGTGGAAAATTTAGGAAGAATATAAATGATATTTGATTTATGATTCATGGGAAAAAGAAATCATATGTAATGAGAGAATTCATTCACAATAATCAAATAAAACTGAAAAGCATTATAAGAAGTTATTGGAGCTAATTCTCAGACATCCATAAGAAGAGTATATGATAGTGTTTCAACATAAGTAATTCTAGATGCAAAAAGCAACTTCTTTTATTTCCCAAGAGTGTAACTTTCACAAAATATGACTGGTTTATTTAAGATAGACAAAAAAATAAGTAAGAATTGCATAATTCTAGAATTAGGATGGCCAAACATGCATGCATGCTAGGTGGTGTTGAAAACCTTTGTAACTTGGAATGCAACAAATGCAAATGCAACAGGATTGGAATATGTTGGGATAACAAGCAATGGGTACAACACAACATCAATAAAAACCTTTCGTCTAGTCTTCATGTTCTTTGGTAGAAAGCCCTATGGATAAAACACAAAGTAGCAATTATGATTAGTAGTAAATTGAGAAACAAAGAGTAGTCTCTTTTTAAGTTTTGGAATAATAAGAACATTTTTAATGTTGAGTTTAATATAAAGAACTTGAAAAGTACCAATAGCTGACATAGAAAAACCAAGACCATTCCTAATCATCATAGAATTTATACCCACCCAAGTATTGTTTTATACCTTTAACATTAGTAAAAGTAGGAATCATGTGTTGATTTACTCTAGTGTCTCTAGTTTGAATAGAAAAAAAGGCTTGATAGCTTTCAGCTTCTTTAACACTAGCATAATAGTTAAAAGTTTTATGATTAGGTCAACCACATCAAAAACATGTTATACGCCCATGATGCAACCTTGAGACCTACCACCTCCACGACTTGTCTTATACTTTTGATGATTATTTTGATAATGCTCATGAGAGGAGTTTCTTGTAGTATGATGTGGAAATGTGATAGCTTTTTTGGTGTAGAAAGCAATAGTGGGAGGTAAACTATCTCTTGTATTGATACAACCATAAATGGATCAAATTCAGATCCTGATCCTTTTAAGTAAGTAGATGATAAAATCATCATCTTCCATCAGTTTGCCAACACCATGAGGCACGAGAGACAGATGTTATCTTGTGAAGGTAATCTTCGTTAGAAGCAGTACCTTTTATGAGGGATTGAAGTTCATTTTTCATTTGTTGAACATGATCCCTTATATGTCCTTTATACAACATTTCCAACACCTCTCAAGCTTCATAGGAGGTCTTATTGTTGATCACCTAAGACAAAGGAGCACCGAACATGGAACTATTGATTTAGCCAAGGATTAGTTGATCAATACGTAACCATTTGGCTGTAGCTGGGTTTTGGATTTCAGTGTCATCAATGGTAGTAATAGTTGTGACTAGACAAGAAGAGTCCTTCATAATATAGCTCAAGAGCCTATATCCATGTAAAATGGAAACAACCTGGTCTTTGCATAAGAGATAACTTATAGAGGCTATTTTAATTGAAATGTCGAGTAGATGAGATTTGAAAGAGAGAAGATCAAACGGGGCTTGCTCATCCACAAGAGTAATTTGAGAAGGAATAGAGGAAGACAAGTTTGAAAAAGATTTTCTTGAACCTGGCTCTGATACATGTAAGATTGAGTGATAACTTGTTGTCTGCCATATACTTGGCTTGTATTTAATTTATATAGAGATTACATAATATGGAAACAAGTACAAAGAATACAACTTATAAAGTCCTATTTACAATAATGTATGTTTAAAATAGAAAATGAATGGTAAGCTGTTATAGGAAAGGCATGAGGAGAGGATCATGAGAGAATCATGCAACTTGTATGGGGAGAATCATGCTGCTGATAAGTCTTCACAAAAATGCCTGAATTACTTGTTACTTATGTTAGTATTGCATACAATCCCCGAATTTATTCTGCTAAAAAACATTATTTCATTGATATTCGTAATCTGATCAGAGTTCCAAAATGTGAACAGTCGACGCTCTAATGCTGCAGAAAGTGTAGATTGCTATTGAAGTCTCATCTTCCTCGGAATCAATAATTTGTATACAAAAACCTTACATGCCACTGGGTTATCTTCATTCTTCCGGTGCCTAATGTATGGAAACTCCATTTCAAGCTCTGATCATTTTGCAACACCAGAAGTGGCAGAGCCTTTCAATATAAAAAGTGAAAAAGGTTACTCTACCTGACGATAAAATTATTCACCAGGAATCAGGAATAGAATATAATTTAGTTGAAGATAGAGAGAATCAATCCTTGCAGTATAACTTTTTATAACCTGGGGTGCAACTTTGTGTCATTCCATCTGCTTCTTGTCTGTCTTTCTTCCTGTCCCTTCATAAGCAAAATATTTTCTCTTCGGACAGAAAGCAAGAGTAGAATTAGAAATGGGCTTTTTCCGGCATGGCGGGCCTGAAATCACACTCTCGCCGAAACGGAAGAACCCGGAAACCAAACCTATCAACCAAAAAGTTCTTTTGCAGTTTCCAGAATGCACAGTTTATCTGATGGATGAAGGAGAACCTCTAGAACTTGCTAAGGGCAAATTCACGATTGCTCGAGTCTTGGACAAGAGCGTTTCTATTGCTACCAGAATAAAAGTTGGTGATCTCCAGTGGCCACTGACAAAAGATGAGCCAGTTTTGAAGCTTGATTCTCTCAACTATTTGTTTTCTTTACCAATGATAGATGGTGGTTCTCTGAGCTACGGAGTTACTTTTTCAGAACAGTATCGTAGCAATTTGTCCTTGCTTGATTCATTTCTAAGTGAACACTCATGTTTCTCAGTCTCTACAACAACTAGGACTAAAAATATTGATTGGAAACAGTTTGCTCCTAGAATTGAAGATTATAATAATGCCTTGGCCAAGGCTATTGCTCAGGGTACAGGTCAGATTGTCAAGGGTATCTTCATATGTAGCAACATTTATAGCACTCAGGTAAGTTTTTCTTACTAGAACAATGGCATAGCTACACGGTTTGATTCTGGTAACTGAAAATTTATTGAAGATCATACATTGATATGATTAAATTGGTAAAAGGAACATCACTAGTTTCATCACATACTATAAAATTCTTTGCTTTGAAGAGCATTAGACGTGATACCTCACATCTGTACTTAAATTATCTGAATACTGAGGAGAGTTGGGAAAAGCAGGTTCGCAATGTTGGAGAAATGCTTTTAACTCGCGCTGCAGAGGAGGAAAATGGTTTCAAAGCTCGTGAGATTAACAGAAATACGAATGATGGAGACACAAACAAGAGTAGAGCCAGCCAAAGCTTAAAACGGTAAGTAATGAACCCCATATAAGTGCACCAATATAGATTTTCATCAGTTTATGTGATCGTTCAAAACGAATCTGCTCTTTTGCTATTTGATTGAATAGCGTGAGAAATTTATCCAAGATGACAGAAAATCTTAGCAAAGTCACACTTGATGTTGTTGGGGCTGCCACTGGATCTGTGATGACACCCATGGTAAATTCCCAGGCAGGAAAGAAACTCCTAGCTTCGGTTCCAGGCGAGGTCGTCTTTGCCTCACTCGATGCTGTTAGTAAGTAAAACACACTTGGAATTTGTATATATTCATGGTTCAGACTTCAGAGTGCTGTGTAGCACACATTGTTTGAGGAAAAGAAGTGGTAACTACGTTTACAACCTTGAAAACAGATAAGATTCTATCCGCAGCTGAAGTTGCTGAAAAACAAGTTCTTTCTGCAACCTCCATTGCCACCACTAGAATTGTCACCGACAGGTAAATGACCTAAAAAATGAATTCCTGACTGTATCGTCTTATACAGGATTTCTGAAGAGAAACAGAGTCAGATAGATTTCCAAAATTTCTTTTTATTGAAGATATTCTACTAAATTTTGTAAGATACAATAACTTCCTGAAAATAGTTCCTTCCACTTATGAGTCTCTTGATAAATACAAGTACTCGTGATTTTCTACTACTGATGTGCGCTAAACTAGTTAAGAAATGGTAACAATAAGATTTCTTGAAATCTCGAAGCTTCTTTCTTTTTTCTTTTCAATTCTTGAGATAAATTGTTACCCAAGTTGTTGATGGCTTTTTCCCGGAATATGTTCATCAGGTTAGGTGAGAATGCAGGGGAAATTGCAGAGGATGTGCTTGCGACTACTAGCCATTGTGCCAACACTGCTTGGAATCTAATCAAGATAAGAAAGGCCATCAATCCAGCATCATATGAGTCAACAGGAATACTAAGGAATGCAGGAAAGGCAAAAATATAGGAATATAATTGGAGTGGAATAGAGTTGTGTTGTCAAATAAAATCCGAAGAAAACATGAAAACAAGGCCTTCGTGTTATCTGATCTAATATCTTGAATAAAATCAGTCTATGTGGCTTCAGAGTGCCGAGTCTTCCTACTTCAGGAGACTCGTCAAGGCCTTTTTTAGTTAATGGGACTAAAATCCCACTCAATAAAGTGTTGTGAAATTGGAGGGTATTTTGGTGCTGCTCAAGCAATACAAATTACTTGTAACTTCTAGGCTTGAAAAATGTGACTAATGGCTATGATATTTTGTTGAAGATCCAAGGGTGATGATATTTACCTAACATATCGAAGGACTCTCTACATTAGATGGTTTTGATCTGATTGCTAAAATAATTGTTTGTTTGTTGCTTATTACGTTGACAAGTAAACGTGTGTGCGTGTTAACAAAGCATTGAAAGAGGTAATGATTTTATTGTGTATTATCTCACAAAGTATTATTTGACAAAGAAATTTTTTTTATTTTTTTAATATTTAATTTGTTAAAAATTATATTTTATTATTTATCTTTTTATGAGATTTTCCAGTCACATAACCCAGTCGCAAGACACTAAAAGAGGTGATGTTTTTACTATACATCACCTCATAAAATATTATTCATTTCAATAGTGTTTTGTTTTTTATAAAAAAATTAATATTATTTTTAAATTTTTTTTTTATATTTTAATGTTTGGTTTGTTTGTTTTGATTTTTTTATGGAGTTTTTAGTCTTATGAGTTGGGTTGTAAATTTGACAAGTTAACCCAAGTTTTTTTTTATTTTATCTTTCAATATTTAATTGATTTGAAATTAGGTTTCATAAGTTATTTTGCTCTGACTTTTATTAGGTTATTTTCATTTTATAACCCAAGTTATAAACTTAGCGGGTTAACTCAAGTTGGCTAGAGTCATTTTTCTTATCCATTTTTTAAATTAGTTTTTTTGTTCTAATTTCATTAGATTGACCAGAAATTGTACTTCATAATATGTTTTGATTTACTTTCTATAGGGTTATTTCATATTTATAACCCAGGTAGTAGGCTTGCTAGATTAAACCCGAGTACTTCACTTAGGTTGATTTTTAGTTTGTTTTTTGTCATAACCTAATTTTGGATCCCTTAAAATTCTTTTCTATTTTTGTTTTTTTATCATTTAAAAATCCAAAATAGTTTTAAAACACAAATAGATGAGCTTTTGAGTTTGCAATAAGTCCAAATACCAAAAAGATAGTTAGATTAGAATATTGTTGACAATATATGATAAAGAAAGACTTAATTGAAAGAAAATTAAGTTTAAAATTCAATTTAATCAAAATTATAAGAATTAATTAAGTTCAAGTACTTAATTAAACTTGTAATGGGTTTAATTAAAGTAAAATTAAGTTTGAAAGTTAATTTGACCTAAATTAAAAGAATTAATTAAATTGAAGTGCTTAATTAAACTCTAATGATTTTATATGACTTAAATTTAAAGCAAAGTTTAAGGTTGAAATTCAATTTGACCAAAATTTAAAGAATTAGTTAAGTTAAAAAGCTTAATTAAACTTATAATGGGTTTAATTGATTTAATTAAGAATTTAATTGAAGTAAAAATTAAGTTTAAATATGAATTTGACCAAAATTAAAAGAATTAAGTATGTTCAAAGGCTTAATTAAACTTGTAATGAGTTTCATTGACTAAATCAATGACTCAATTGAATTGAAATTAAGTTTTGAGGTCTAATTCAAATCAATTCACAATAATTAGAATATCAAAGACCTAATTGAACTTTAGATAGCCTAATTGGTGCAACGAAGGGCTTAATTGAAAAAAATACAAAATTTAAAGGTTGATTAATGATCAAATTGATAAAAGTCAAAACCAAGGATTAAGCTATAAAAGGTTCGTGAATCAAAGGATTACAATCAACATTTTTAAGGATGCAATTGCAAAAACTAAGAAGTTTTGCGGTTTAATTGATGATACAAGTGCTAAAATTAGAAGTACATAGGCAAAATAGTAAAATTCAAGAACCCTAATTAAAAACCCTATTTTTCAAGGTTTAGTAATGAGCAATGCATCATTTGAAATTCTTTTAAGAAACTAGGTAACATGTCATTTGATTATTGTTCTTCCTCTTCTTCACCCAAAAAGTTGACTGAGAAGCTATCTTTAGATGAATAAACATGTCTTCTCTGACTACCTTAAGAGATATAATTGACATCAAACTACTGAGAAACAATTCCAATACAAATTTCAGCCACCTATATTACACCTTATTTCACTCGATGAAATCAACAACATCCTATCGTCACTCGACCTCCTCTCTATTGAAAAAATCCAAAATTATTAGGAACTAATTGATTACTATTTAAAAATATATTTTTATCAAGGTTTTATATCATCATTTCACACTTTAAATATCAATAACTCCTTAACTAAAGCATGTTTTATAATAACAAGTCTGATACCATAAGATACCTTTAATTTCTAGTAAATATTCATTCTAAATGCAGGCCTATCATATAAATAAAAGGATTGATTGATGAGTTGAATTACTAAAATTGAAAAGACAAAAAGAGGGTAAAACTTAGAAAAGAGATGATAGTTCAATCCAAACTAGAACACTGTTTGGTAATTGGATCATATCTAGAGCTGTAGAACTTGGATTTAGCTATGTTTTATATGGATGGAAAGCTAAGACATAGGCTTAAAACTTCCACAAAAGACAAGACTCAATTCTGCTGTTTGGATGTCCAAATCTTAGCAACAACATAGAAGTCTGAATTTGTCCTATAGTCAAACACTGTTCAGTGTTCAACCCATATCTTGAGTTCTAGAAGTCTAAATTACTTTAAATTTTTTTTTTTTGGAAAGTTGAGATAATTTCCTAGAACTTTCATGGAAGGTTGGTTCAAATTCTGACGTTATCAATAATGTTTTTGGCAGACAAGAAGATAAGGATTGTTACCAAGTCAAGAGATGGTCACCCACTCAATAATTAGTCATCAAATCAATAGTTCCCAATTTGGCCTATAAAAGGAGGTATTTTCCATGCATTTAGGCATCTTGGTTTCCAGATCAAGATCATGCTTTTGCTTTCTTTCTTTGTATTTTTGTAATACTTAAGTTTTTATTTCATTAATATCTTATTTATGCCTTTCATTTCCTTTCCTTTACTTAGTTAAATTTTATCTTATTTATGTTCTTATCTTGTTTATTTATATTTCTCTCTTTCATTATATTTAGTTAAGTTTATTATGTCATGGTCAAAAGGTTACACTAATGGTGTAAGAATAAGTATAGTGTAAACTCAACATATACTTTAATGTTTGATACTAACATGTTTTATAGTTGTTATCTTGTTCACTTTTAATACTTTACTTGTTAAATGGTTAATCTAGATTTATGTTGTATAACACTTGATAAAACAAATACTTATTACTTTCATAGCCCAACCGTATGATGTAACAGACACTTGTGCTATAAAAGGAACTTGATTTGTTATTAACATAAGTTATAATTATAAATAGCTGACAATATTTACAAGTATTAGCATTATTTGAATAAGATAATTAAAGTAATCATGTTAACCATTTATAATCTGATTGGAAACTCATTTGTGTGTGGTTTTCAATTGAGTAATAAAAAGAGTTTATATTATAATTTTTTGAAATACCAACTTTTGTTTTTATCATTATTTAATCCTCACATTAATCTTACCATCTCAAAGTTCTCATCACCTTCTTCTTCTTCTTCTTTATTATTGTTATTGTTGTTGTTGTTTATAATTTATATAATTTACCTCTTTATGGTTTGATCCTGTTCTTGTCAGGTTATTTATTACTTCAATACTCCTGCACTTGGGAGAAGATATCAATCTTTTGGTCATGTCACTAATATTTCAATCAATAAACATAAAGTTACTAAGCTCCAAATCAAGTCAAGTGTGGTTTGTTTTCAATGGTAGGTTTACATTCTGATTAGTACATGAAAGTGTATTTTCATCAAGGTTTTATATCAGCATTTTGCAATTGAAGTATCAATAACTCCTCAACTAAAGCATGTTTTATAATAACAAGTATAATACTATAAGATATCTTTAATCTATAGTAAATATTCATTTTAAATGCAGGTCTATCATATAAATCAAAGAATTGATTGATGAGTTCAACTACTGATTAGTACTTAAAAGTGTATTTTTATCAAGGTTTTATATCATTATTTTGCACTTAAAGTATTAATAACTCCTTAACTAAAACATGTTTTATAATAACATATCTAATAATATAAGATACCTTTAATTTATGGGAAATATTCATCTTAAATGTAGGCCTATCACATAAATAAAAGGATTGATTGATGAGTTTAAGTACTGAAATTAAAAGGACAAAAAGATGGCTAAACTTAGAAAAGAGATGTTGGTGCAGTCCAAATTAGAACACTATTCAATAATTGAATCATATTTAAAGCTGTAGATCTCAGATCTAGGTCTACATTATATGAATGGAAAGGTAAGATAAAGGCCTACAACTTTTATGTTGAGGTCCGGTTTTACAAAGGTCATTTTCAAGTCCAAATTATAGCAATAACAAAAAAGTTTGAATCTGTCTTGCAGCTTAGATACTATTCAGTATTTAACCCATATCTTAGGTTCTAGAAGTCCAAATGACCTTAATTTTTATTTTTTTTGCTAGAAAGCTGAGACAATTTCTAAATTTTCATGTGGAGGTATGGTTCAAATTCTGACATTATCAACGATATTTTATTTAGACAAGAGAAGATAAGGATTGTTATCAAGTCAAGAGATGGCCACCCACTCATCAATTAGTCATCAAATCAATAGTTCTTAATTTTGGCCTATAAGAGGAGGTATTTTCCATACATTTAGGTATCTTGGATTCCATATCAAGATCATGCTTTTACTTTCTCTCTTTATATTTTTGTAATGTTTAAGTTTTGTTTTCATTAATATCTTGTTTATGCCTTTCATTTCCATTCCTTTACTTAGTTAACTTTTATCTTATTTATGTTTAGAACAAAAATTTTGTTTTCTTCCAAGAAAAGCCCCATAATTATGTGTTGATACATTGAGCACAAAAGAAAGGTTTATTAATATCTTGTTAAGTGGTATTGAGCAGATATATAAATTTAATGAGAGTTTGTTTATCTGGATAGACTAATGGAAGTTAAATGATGAATACCTTGCTTTGTGGAATATACAAATTGTTTTTCTATTTTACGCTTTGATTACTAGGGACTAGTAATAAGCTGGTTGGGGGGTGTGATTAGTACTTAAAAGTGCATTTTTATCATGGTTTTATATCA